GACTCGTTCGTCGTGCCATGGTGCTCAAGCGCGTACATTCGACTGTGTGCACGTGGTAATGTAATGTAATGTAGTGTAATGTAATGTAATGTAATGTAATGTAATGTAATGTAATGTATTTATGTATGCATGCATGTACGTATGTTTGTATGTATGTATATTCTGTATCCATATCCAATCGCTCTAACCCAAGAAGCTGGAACCTCCTGAAAAAGCCTCAAGGCCTCAAAGCCCCATGTCCCCCATGGCTGAACAGCGCTCCAAACACCCACCAAAGTACTGTTGATGGACAAAATCCTGCATGACCTTAAGGACCTTAAACTATGGGAATTATGGTATATTCCTTATAATGGGTAATGCAGGATTTTGTCCATCAACAGTACGTTGACACCTGCTCGAGTTCTCCATCTCTACGGCTAGGCTCCGAGGGCCATGGCAGGTCCTGTTGGAGATGCCTGAGCCCCGGTTAACGGGTTCAGGTCATGTTCATGGTGTGTCAGGGTTGTGGGAGTTCGAGTTTTTTTGTTTTTCGGGGTCTAGGGCTTCGGGCTTAGAGTGAAGAGGTTTCTGGAGTTTTTCGTTTTCGGAAGTTTCGAATGTTGTGCATTAGGGCTTGGCGTAGACATTAGGGCTGTATTGTTTCAGGCTTAAGGGTCGGGTTAGCGTCTCAAGGCTTGGGGGTTGGTTTAGGTGATTTTCGGGTTCGGATTCGTTCTGATTTGCACGTTTCGGGTCTCGGTGTGGGATGCCTGGGGTCTGTTTTTGCATTTCAGGGCTTGGGGGCGGGGGCCCGGGTTTGCGAGGTTGCAAGCCATGAGTTTGCCCAGTTCGGAGACACAGGGGGATGTCAGAAAGCTTGGGCCATTGGGGTTCCTAGCTTAATCCTTGCGGTAGAGATTCTAGGATCCATGACATGTTCCGCCTGAACCCCAGATCACCAACTCAGACAAAGGGACCCGGTTAAGGACTTAACTGTGCTGCCGCCTGCACTGCAAAAAAATGGGGTTCCTCAAAGAGATGAGCCTGCTTCTGCTGCTTCTTCAAGGTGCGTAGGCCCTGGCTCGAAAGTCCGACCCATCCTGGGAGCTCCCAAAACTCCATCAAGCTAATGGTCATTCGTGAGGTTCAAGCCCGAAGTGACAGGCTTCCGCAACACCAGGGCCCTAAAACCTTCGGAGTACGAAATCTTTGGGTGCCTGAGGTCCGCACGATGTCTCCACAGGACTCATTCTGCTGGGGTACTGCAAGTAATACAGACGTCAGAATAGCTCGCAAGCTAGCAAGAGCATGCCATAGTCCGTCCCTGTGAAATCATCGTATGATTAGCGTCGCTATGTTCGGGCAAGAAACCTTTATAAACATTCCGAATGCTGCGCTCTCAAGCAGAAGCAGTTGGGGTGAGAGTCCATGCAATACTCTTAAACTCTGAAGCCTGAAACGGATTTGAGTCAAGACCCCGAGGCCCTGGAAGGGGAAGGGGCTGATGACCCTTCTCTGGGCACTGTCCCCCAACCCCCCGAGGTCTGGGTCGGCTTCAAGCGAGCAGGGCATAAGCCTAGAGCCATGCAAATTGTCAGTGTTGAATCTTGGGGGCGTGTTCAACTCGGGCGTTTTTACGTTCTATAGATGAATTTCTTTGCGATGCCGCTCTGGGTGCCTCAGGCAAGGGCCTATGCAAAGGCTTCTGCAATAAAACTTGGGCTTTTAGGAACTCTTTCTGGCGCAGGCTTCTTGCCACACTAGAGCCTGAGCCAGTCGTCCTACCACGAAGCCTCTGAGACTCCAGAAACAGCCCTATACATTCAAGCCCATGGTTCCACATCTCCAACCCTAACCCCCAATGGCCCGTAAGGCTCCAAAACCCACTACGCCTGTGAAACCCTGAGCCCTAGAAGCCCTAGCCCCGAAAGGCCGCTCCGTCTGTTTGGGTAGATCCAAGAAATACTACAGCCTGCTGTCGTGCAGCGCAGCCCTTCTACTTTGATTCGTGTGGTCATTACCGCTCCGAAGTTCTTTTCCGTTCTTATTATCATCACGAAGATGATGATGAAGCGACGATTCTTCCTCTAGCCGCAGTTTCCTGATTCTGCCACTACTGTCATGACTAGAATGGGTCTGACGTATGTCATGACTGTCAGTTTGGTAGCCGTTTCCCTTGATCCTGACAAGTAGAGTTGTTGCTGCACATGCTAACTGAGTAACTGCCGTTGCGATGCATGGTACCATAACATGAGGAGACCGCGCAATGGTGTAACTCCTTAGCACTCTGCGGGCAGCTCAGTGCGATGCAACTCTATCACGTCATCCTGAACCCGAAACCAATAAGTCCCGAAGCCAACCCCAGATCCCCCCACAAAGCACCCTGCATAACTTAACCCAGCACCCCGCTCCCTCTGCTCTAACCGTCTCGAGCTTGAGAGGTTTTCTGGCTTCGCTTGATTGCTTCGAACCTGCGGCGGTACTACAAACCCTGTAGACTGTAGACTCCTCCTTCTTCCGGTTTTGCACACCCAAACCCTTGAACTCTGGACCTCTCTAATCCCCAGCCGAAATCCACCTGAATGAAGTGCCATACACGGCAAATCCGAAAGCAACGAGGTCGTGGATGTAGATTTAAATCAGGTTGAAACCTTGGAAGATTTAGTGGGTCGGTCTGCCCGAGCAGTTCGTTCGATGACTTGTCAAGATGGTTTACAAGGGTTGCACGGGGCTGTCTTTGACACGAGCTGAGGGGTGGAGCTTGTGGGATTTAGGCCCAGACGTTATGTGAATGATACAAAATACAAGGAGTTCAAGGCTTTTCTCTTTCCGGCTTGAATAGCTTTGTAGAGCCCCTTCGGAAAGTGGTGAGGGTTCAGCAGTCCCCAAGCCAAACATCTCCCGAGATCCTGCGAAAATCTCCGCAAGTTTGCAGCGCCATGTACATCGCAACATGCCATGTCAAACATCAACATGTTTAAACCCATGAATTACAGCCCTGATCCCAACCCAGCAGGGGCTTCAAGTGTTCGCCGACTAAGGTGGGGTCAAAGGCCGCATTCTGCGCGAACTCCAGGCAATGACGCCTCCAGGGCATCGACTCAGGTTGGATAATAGCGGTTAAGGGCTTTGGTGTTTTGGTGGCTGGTTCGGGTTCCTCGCTTGGGATTCGGGGTTCAGGGTGTGGGTTTGAGGTTGAGATTTACGGTGACCACTTTTAAACATGTGGAGGGCGGACTCGGGCCACGAGCCACGGAGGTAGCATAAAATATCTATTTAAATCTCCGCATGTTTAAATGTATGTAAGTACCTTATACACACGTGCTACAC